GACATTCAAATTTGTATCACTGGTGGTGCCACCATTAACATGATATGATATTTTACATTAACATTTACTCATTTCACAGACACTTTTATCCAAAGTGACTTACAAGTGCGGGACATTACTAAAGCTTCAGTGCAGTGGGAGACCTTGGCGTACGTACTGACCACTATTACATCTATTTTAGATCACAGTATGTCAGTATGCCGTTTCATCACATGTGACTTTTGAGTATCTATGGCGTGAAGGTGAATCAGTAAAATCTATTGAAAAAGTTAAAAGTTCGTAGGTCAGTTGGAATAAACTGACTAAAAAGGACAAACTGAAGAAATCTTAAAAGCCTTAGATGTGACACAGTGTTAGGTCTCAAATTTATAAAATTGCAAGCTGACTCATCTGTGTATATGTAAACGTATAAGCTGCGCTCAGGCGCTTCATCGTGCTCCACGCCTCTCCGACATCAGATTAGGGGGCTGTGTCTCTACCTGCCTGAAACAATCAACCAGTCACACTCACAGCATGCTGTGATTGGCTGCTGTGTGGAGGTGAGGAAGGAGCCCGGGTTTGAACTTCTGTCTCTAGCGTCTTTCTTGACACAGCTAATTGATACAGCACTGATCATGTGAACAACCGACAACTCTCTGAATGTCTTTCAAAGGAGCTTTCTCCATGTTCTTTTCTCGACAGTCGCCTTTTTAAATAAAGCCGCTGGAAATTAAAGATCTCGAGCCACTGAATACATCCAAAGGAAAACAAATGTGTAATATGAATAGAATAATCACAAGTGAAAACACGAAGTCAGCGCTCTACACTCGTCATACTATCACAACATGTGCGTTATTTTAGCTTTTCTAACGCTGTTGACCTCTCGTCTGACCTCTGGTATAATAAGCATGTGATCTCTGGGTTGGTAGAGGACATGTGTGATAGCTCTGTGATGTATCCTAAACTTTCATTTAAGGGGCGCTGCAGTGCAATCAGATTTAAACTGAAGGCTGAACAACAGCTGAGCTACCCTAGAGCTGAAACCTGCAGCGCACTGACGCAGAGTGGGAGGAGAGCTGACTTGGTTGAACTTCAATTTGGATCCTGGCGAATAAAAATTCAGTCCTTGTAAATAAGAAAGGAACAAATAGTCATGCCCACGCCCATCCCCCCCACCCCCACCCCCCATGTCCATTGTTCCCTCCAAGCAGACAAAAGGCAAATGCTTTCAGAGTCCAAAAGGACTTCAGTAAATTATTTATCCAGGTTTCTCTGCCTTTACCATCTTAGCCCACTTTCTTTGGTACTTTGGGGGAAGCGCAGTTACTTGTTGCTCACCATGATATCTCCCAGGTCATACATTATACATGGAGATACTCTGCATTTTGCATGCATACAATATGGCATTCAGTCCAGCATCACAGCCTGAATGTGAAGCCTCTGAAAATAAAAGTCCAAATAATGTTTTTGTTTTTGTGTTCAAGAAGGAAAACACAAACTGGATCTTCATGGTTGTAGTGATTTGTAATGTATTCATACAACACACAGGCACACACACAGGCAACACACTCAAAATCCATCAGCTTGACATTTGAGCACGCAGGTCAGAGCGGTGCATCCTTACCCTGCCGGTTGCTGTGTGTATCCACGGAGACAGATGTCAGCAGAGGCAGCGGGCTGAGTGGTCTCTGCCGAGGTGTAGAGCATGTCTTGTCCGCATCACATTCACAGACCAACCAAGGAGCAGCCCGCAGCGAAGAGCCACGACTCCACAATCTGGGTCAGTGCCGCTGGAGCCATCCTTATGGGGAAGAAGAAGGTAGCCCACAGAGGGGAGCAGCGCAGACGTCACAGGCCCACATGGATCCTAGCATCCAGCCACAGTCGCATCCTCTGTCTGCAGCTGTTTTGGATCCAGATGCAATGAATTCCTCTGAGAATCAGATTGGAGCAAATCCATGAGGTTCTCACATCCACACACATACACACACACACACACAGACACACACACACACACACGACGAGAGCTTTCTGCTACGAGAACACAACCCCGTCTGCACGAAGCATCGCCGCCTCACTGAAAGACCGTCTACTCCTCCTCCTCCTCTCCTCTGACTGCCTAATTCACTGCTTTATCGCTCTATTTCTGTCTTTCTCTGACGCTCACCCATATTTCCACTTCACTGCTCTCTCTCTCTCTCCCTCTCTAATTCTCAGCTGTGTCTCAGTGCTCCGCTCAGCCTGTGCCCAGAGGATGTTGAACATGTGTTCAGGGTGGGGGTTGGGGACTGCTGACTTCATAGGTGGCACGCTTACTTCCCACACTGATAGGTTAAGGAGGATGGCACTGCGCGGCGTCTAACTGGCAGTTGATTTAGATAAAATCAGCTTGGCCTCTTTTTTCTTGTAAATGTTCCTATTTTTGATTCAAAACATCGCGGAGGAGATTAATGGCTGTGATTAACCGTCACACTGCTCTCGATTGGTGGAAATCTGCAGAGTAGTAGAGTAAGGGAGGGACGGAGGAGGTGATTTCTATATGTGATGTGATAAAATCACTGTCATCTCACTAAACAGCCCCGCAGGACTGACAGCGGAGGGGAAAAACAAACCCTACAGGCTCAGAAATGAGAGTGTTGTTGTTCCCACTTACCACTACTGCCTCTTTCTAGACAGAAAAAGACACATTTCTCCACATTGTACGACAGGAGCAGAGGGAAAAAGGGAAAATGTGGGAGGCAGAGAGTGTGTAGGGGAGACGGCGGGGGGGGGGGGGACACAGAGAAAGCAGCAAGAAAGACAGAAAGAAAGGAGTGGGAGAGAGAGAAAGAGAGAGAGAGAACAGAGAGCTTTGGAATATTTATAGAAGGCTGGAGACTGATGTAAAGAAATAAGCTCCTCTATTTCTGTGCTGTGACACACGGTCGCATCGCGGATGATACGCTGTCAGGCTAAGTCATATCAAAGGGATCCTATGGTGCTGCTGCTGCAAGGATGCACATAAACTGCGGCAGCATGCAGGAAGATACGTCTTTATTTCAAGCAGATTACACACCAACACACACACACACACACACAACACACACACACACACACACACACACACACAAAATAGATCTAGATTAGGCTTCAGTGGGGAAAGTGTCTTCTAAATGGATGTTGATTCAGAGATGCACCGCAGAAGGATCCCAGAGTGCACTTAATGAGGGAAATGATGGCCTTGTGACAATCATAAGAGCCATTAGACTGGAGTCACATAACCAATGAGTTTATTTGGGAGGGAGCGGAAGGAGATGAAAATGGGGAGGGGATTTTTGGGAAATATGAAATTCATTGGATTTATTTATAGTCTTCTTTTTGGTGGGATGAGAGGTGTGTGTGTCTGCCGTCACAACAAAAAAAATCTTTTCACTGTTCGCTGAGGGAAAATTAGTTGAGTCAAAATGTATTTTATGAGCTAAGACATGCAATCTTTTTAAATTTAAAAAACGTGAGCGCATATGAGTGTGTGTGTGGGTGTGTGTGGAGACCGGGATACCTCTGGGCTTATGCTGTGACCTAGATTAGGCCTTGATGCTCCCAAGCCTGGCAGGCTGAGTGTGCGTGTGTGTGTGTGTGTGTGTGTGTGTGCGCATCATACATAGCGTAAATGCATGTGTGCATGTGCACGTGTGGCTAGATGCAGAAGAGAGAGGAAGACAGGAAAGAGAAAGGATGTGTGTGTATGTATGTATGTAAGCACGCATGCGTGCGTGCGTGTGTGTGTGTGAGAGAGAAAGGGAGAGAGTCATATATGTACACATGAAATGAAGCTCCACTGGAGCTTGCTGTGTTGCTTGTAAGAGCCTCAGCTGGATGGCACACAAAGAGGTGAATGTTCATGCAGTAAGAGAGCTTATCTAAAGAAGTGTGCACACATTGATGAAAATTACACAGCTTCTGCCTCAAAGGGCAAAACTTACGTAACTTCAAACGCAGAGAAATGAAAAATTACACAACATAATGAAAGCACAGTAAATTCAGACACCAATGCTAAAGCAAACCGATCTCACTGGAAGATTTTGTGATTCATATAACCACAGTTTATGTGTAAAGCTTAACAGATTAGCACTCACTCTTTATGCAGATTACTGGCAATGGAATTAGTAATTTCCTTTACATATGGAATGAAGTTAAACAAGTTAAATAATCTTATGACGCATTTAATGGCTTTGACCCTGCCTTTATGCTACATCAGTATAGTCCAAGTTATTATTATCTAATGACTCACATCCATACCTCCTCACTCCATGAATGTGCTGCTATTTAATGCATTATACTGAGCTTATATAAGAAATGACTGGAATCATCTCGCCCCAGTTAATTCCTGACCTGTCCTCTGGCCAAATTTGCCTCCATGTTATTAAATGGTTAATCTTGTGCATCGTGTACATACACTAAGTATAGAAGTTACAAGATAATATTAGTTTCATGTATGTTGATGGCAAACAGCCATAAAAACGATAAATTCCCAAACTGGATTGTACAAGTTGGAAAGTTTCTCTGCGACATGTTCATCGAAATGCTGCCAAAGTGCTGGATGATTCTGTCCATGACTTGTGATAAAAATAGCTGTTTCACATGCACATATGGTTTCTCTCACACAGAGTCATGTGTGGTAAGGCTGATGGTGGAAAATGATGGGAAAACACTCATCAGCAGAGACTCATCAGTAAACACAAGTGTCCAATTTGCTCAAAACAGGAAATGACACACACATGAAAAGATTTTCTAAATCCACTCTGGAGGAGGATATACTTTGATTCATGGTTTTGGTTTTAGGTTTGGTAGAAGGCAAATTCAAAAATAAAAACCCAAATTTATGTTAAGTGTCATATTAGGATGGTACTGAGCAGACAGGTGTGTTACGGAGGATGTGGAAATATTGCCTTCAATTTAACTTGAAAATAATACCAGGAAAAGGATATTTAACGGATAAAGTTAAAATTTATTTACTGAAATATTTCTAGTAAAAAGGTTATCAAAGACAACTGCTCATCAGCAAGTATATCATTCTCTATACTTATTTGTAATCTAATTTACTGTTACAACAGTATTAAGCTTTGAGTAAATAAAGTTTCAGTTAAAACAATTAGTGCATTTACATTGCTGTAAACAATTAAATGAGCATTACACTCAGACAGTTAAATTGACCATTTGCCAACCGCTTTGGATTTTTCACTATGCTTAAGTAGTGTACCTGTACCATGTACCTGTAGTAAAACCAAGTTTGGTGTTTAGAGGTTGGTGAGACTTTTCATTTTCCTGTCCAAAACCAAAAAATACAAGAGCAAATTATTGATGGATTCAGCGGTGTGTTTATCTGCTTTAACATATGCTTCAAATATTAGCATGCTTGGTTAACTAGCTACGACACTACCCTAGCATGACTTCCAAAACCACAGAGCATAGTGTTAGCTAACTAGATTATTTTGTGGGATTAAACGTTAAATTAGGACTCAACAAAATCAAGGTTATGTTAAAATGAATGTGCTTTAATTACATTTTGTATCTATAATACTGTATTATACTAAGGTTAACTAGTGATACCCCGTGTGAGCATGTCTGGGGCGTGCAGCTTGAGCCTTAATAGCATTTTATGAGCATATTACGTATGTAGCCATCATGTGCATATTTAAGACCCTTTTAATGGCTTCTTGTTTTACTACAAGTCAGCTGGAAACATTACCGATTCAGCTATAAGTTTCAACCAAACTGGTCAGTCGTGTTGTTAGTTAATTAGCTAACTCTAGATAACTACAGCTGATGAAATTAGCTAGCGACCTGGAAAAGCTTGACAGATGCACCAACGGTAACAGAGGTGTTTAACAGATGATCCATTGTCATGATAATTAAAGTGACATTGAACCAAGATTGTTTGAGGTTTTACTGGTTTAGGCAACGATTAGTTTTCACATACGGATCCTGCGCTGCTCTTTCCAGAACTCCGCAATCCCTTCAGACAGTGCTAACTCTGCTAAGCCCCTGCACTCACGGGGAGTGAACCCCACCAATGCCATGCCCTTCGTGCCAACCCCCTTCCTTCCTGCCAGCTCTGCAACCCTCGCTGTGATGAGGGAAGCTGGAGCGTGACAGTACAGCTGTCCGTCGATGCTGAAAGACGGCCAGGGTTCACCTGCAGTCAAGTGACTAGGCGTGCTCCCCTTCACACTTTCCACATTACAGGCAATTTCCACAGCACCCTCATGTGGCAAAGCCAGCACCTGCACTCCTGGTAGGCCCCCAGGGGTCGACTCTCTAATGGTTGTGGCGATGCTGTGTCCCATGGCGATGTCCTGGGTGTTGATAGTGACGTTGCAGTTCATGACGTATGGACTGGCCCCAACACCTGCAGGACATTAGGGAACACCAACAAACTGTTAGACATCCTCAGGTTTGTATTTCTTTAGTGAGAGAATTTAATTTCCATTCTTGTTGAACCCACTGCCCCTCATGCTCGCTCTTCTACTTCTAGTTCAGTAAATGCTGTACTGCATTTCCCAGAATCAATTTCAATCAGCTCCATGAAATGAGCATTTACTTTGGGGCTTTCATGTATTGTTCAAGCACATCAGTGCAGAGAACAACAACACTGTAATTAGTGATTGTAAAAGCAAAACACAAAGACCCTCTCCAGTCAAGGATTTTCACCCTTTCTTTAAAATATAATGTGTGATAGCTGCATTGCATTATGTTTTATTAATCCTACAGTTGGTGGAGAGATTGAAATTTACATTTCTCCCTGTAAACATATCTTAAGAAGATACTGTCCATCAAACACCATTGAAGAGGCACAAGAAATACACTGGCAATGACATGACAAAACAGCAGTAATCCATAATAAATAACACCAGCAGCTTTTTTTGAAGAAGTCTTTGTTAACACAGTTCTTACACTACATGCCTCATGTGCGATAAAAGATGTTTGGTTGTTCTCCATAATAGCCGTGAAATGATCTCTCCTGAGCGTGCTAATGTGGCTACAATGTGAGAAATTGGAGAACAAAAGTTCAGCCAAAGCTAATTTTAGGCTTCAGCACTCTGAGTTCGCCAAAACAAGTGGTTATCTTTGTCCTGGTAGGTTCACTGTACATATAACATGTGAGTATTGTATCGTAGGAATATATAATTAAAGGTGCAGCGCTTAAGTTGTTCAGATTTTGCCTTTAAAAAGGTGAAAATAAAGGAGAAAGGCGGCCTCTGGTCAGGCTGTAACAGTAGCCGTGTAAATACAGAGATTTTCACCGCTGTTGTGTAATCCTGGCAAAGAGACAGTGTAACCTTCCTTTCAGGCTAAAACATTTACCTACATTAGCATGTCTGGGATAAAATTTCAGCTTTTCTCTCCCAGCTCTGGCTCACCTGTGAGGCCGAATCGTCTCTGCGGCTGTGGCCCCAGGTCGGGCCTGATCGCCTGCAAGTCTGGCGTCTTCTTGAACCAGCCCATCTCCTTCCTTCTCTGCGCCAGCCCCCGTTGAAGGGGGGAATCTGCCCAGCCAAACAGGAAGGCACTGGTGCCCTGGACCCTCTCTGTAAGTCCCTGAGCCACAGCTGGGCCGGGCAAGAACACAGACATGTTAGTTAACCAGCAAATGAAGCGCATGTCATCACATGAGCACGTGACAGACTAAACAGCTGAGGGGATACAATTCAGACAGAAGGGAGAAATATGCACACATGGACCATTTATTACATGCATGCACACATAAATACAGTGATTGTTAGTGAGTTTGCCAGTAGTTATTCTGCAACCCCACCCCACAGATTAGCATGCTGAGTGCACACTTCAGACATGTAGCTCACATGCTGAGTTCGTGCTCATTATCAGCAACACACATGGCTAATAAGTCAGCTGGTAAACTGTGAAACTCATCAACAGCACAGGAAGCAAAAGATGTCACATCATCAGCCACCAGCCCATTACAGTATATGTACATTTATAATATATCAGGGAGGTAGAAGGCAGTTTTTGGAAATGGAATGGAAACCATAAACATATACAGGGTGTACTGCAAAGGAAAAATGTATTTGCATCACTGAGTAGAGTCCAAACATCCCCCTCTCTGTCTTGAGCAGGTGCTGGACAGAATACAAAATAGACCCTAGTAATGACTGTGCCCTGAAAGCTAATGAACAGATACAATATAGGATCAACTCAACCGACAGGGACATATTTCTAAGTGCACACAAACACACACATGCATAAATGGCTTCTCACCCCGAGCCTCTTTAGCACAGTCCTCCACTCGCACTTCCTCCCCCAGGGGGTAGATGGGTATGAGATCGACGGCACCCATACATGGGTGGACCCCCGTGTGAGCACACATGTCAATCAGCCCACAGGCTTTCTCACAGGCCGACAGAACCGCCTCCCCTGCAACACATCAAATGTTACATCCATCAATACTGTGCATCACACATCCTGTCAGAGTGAGGACCTGATGTGATGGGTGGGAGATAAAACTTTATATCTGAAGCAGTCATTTTTTTTTAAAGTTACACCTTTGTGCATGAAATTGGGCTGATGTACTAGTCTTTAGGTGAGTGCAGGAAATATGACTGTAAACCTTGACAGCTTTGTCTGCGTTGTCAGTTTGTTGTGTTTCAGATAAGCACTCAATAAGATCGACTTTTTACTATGATCTTTGCCAGAAAAATGTTCATCCTGAATTTTTTTGTGTTTAAATCCCTGACAAAGCTTATTAAAGGATTTTTTCCCTCTCAGAGGATTGGAAAGCAGGGGACAGAGAGTGAATCCCTACTGTAGCAGCAGTTCTACAACAAGCAGCTGACAAGCAGTGTAGGAAGATGAATGTAGAAATTGTGTATCCCAATGAGGCTTCAGCAAAAAACATAAAGATTAAATACTTACTGATAGAGTCGATGCTGGCCACAATGGTTATCACAGAGCGGTTATAGTCATGATCGTTAAAGATGTTCAGCACTGTGGTCCCCTCTCGTCTAACACCTGATGTATAATAATTTCAAACAAATGTTAGTAGTATAGCCAGAGTTTACTGCTATAGAGGCACTGTGGTTGCAAAATCTCCAGAAACCACATCTGGTTCCATCACGGAGGACATGTGGAGAACATGCTGAGGACGAATCAAGTATTGTATTGTAACTTCAGAATAATGAAAAAAAACAAAAAAAAAACAAATGCTAGACATTTCATAACTTTACATAAAGGTCAAGTGTGAGCATATGTCATTACCCATAATTCTCTTGATACAGAATAACATTACACTTGCCTTCGGTGTTGTATAAAGCCGCTTTGGCCACAGTCTCCACCAGCTCTTTCCTGCGAGCCTCAGAAACATTGAGGAGACAAGCCACCAGTCGTCTGCCCAAGGAACTGGAGGCCATGTTACTGCAAACGCAACGACACTGAATGACTTAAAGCGCATTCTTAAATATGAAGTGCACAGACCAGAGTTAAGATGAATAAAATGTATAAAAATGAGCAGAGAGATACAATTCCCCACTCACAACTAAAATGTATCTGGACAGAAATGTAGCCAAGATAATGAATTTGTAAACTCCAGCGCATGAAGACAAATGTTAAATTGAGACTATGTAATTTTTTTTTTTTAAATGAAGAGATGAAATCTTTAACACTAAAACACACTGTTGCTTAGTTGAACACACTAACACTAACACAACACTCTATTATAACCAGTAGCTTATGGTGGCAGCTGTTGGCTAATGTAAAACTACAGACACATATTGCTGTGTAACTGCTGTTCAACAAAAGTTATGTTTTCTCACTTATAGTGTAGGTGAGTCTAAGTCAGTTAAGGTAATTTTTTCTTCTTGTTTTAAATCCACACAAACCTTTAAGTTTGGCAGTGTATGCATTTGTGTTAGCAATTTTATGACCTTGGCTATTTGGCAATATGCGTAGTAATTCTTTACTGAATGCATGGCTGCCATAAACTATGAACTGCTAAATATAAACAGCTCATTCAAAGTAAATGATTTCCTTTAATGATGATGCCATCTACAGACGGTTTGTGGAGCTGCCCTTTAACACAGAATAAGTAACAGAATACCTGCCTTTAAATGCAAAACAAACAAGCAAGCAAGCAAACAAAGAAACAAAACATTCATAGCACCTTAACTGCAAGGTTTACAATAATGACAAAAGCAATTCTTGAAAATAGGTGTCTAGTGAATATAAACTGGTATAGTCTGATACTGTATGTTTTAGTGTCTAGGTTACCTTACAGTAAATGAGGAGATTCTCCTTATGTCTAGACTGCATCTGAAAGTTTAATCATCAAGTGTTAAATCGTTTATGAAGTCTTCCATTGTAGCCTATGGGAATTGTTATACTGAGTGGTGTTGTTCCATATCAGTGTCTGTGCTATACAGAACATGTTCAAAGTCCAACCTGGTGTAAAATCACTCACTACATTTATCTAAGGCATGTAAGTCAAAAACATGTAATAGAACCTGAGACATCAGTGCATAAAGTTTGACTTGCGTTATATTGACCTGACATGTGTGGAGCATTCTCTGGTAGTGATTCCTCTGACTCAACACCAACAGAGCACTAACATTAATGCAGTTGCTACAAACCCATTCACCTACCAGATCCGCGAAAACCAGCACAAGTAGTTTTTAGCATGTGTAGCTAAAGAGTACAGAGTTCACCTAAATGGTTCACTCCTGTTTCCGACCTACCGGAAACGTCTGTCTTCTGCAAGACAGTGCTCTTTTCAGCCTGAAACATTTTTTGCACAATCGTGTAAGTTTTCTCTAATGTGTGTTTAGTTTTCTCTGTTTTTGTTTAATAAATTATTTACTTTTTTCATACATGTATGTCTGCAAGTTTGCGGGGGACGATGTTGATAATGTGCCTTATATTTATTTTTACATGTATGTTATTTATATATCGCTTTTATTCATTAATGCAATACTCTCTGTATTCATCTATTATATTATTATTGTTTGTTTTACTTTTCCATATTTCTTTGTCCTTGGCCGTGTACGCTCGAAAACGGAAGTAGATAGCAGGACATCATCTCTACGCTCAGTGTCTCTGTAGAAAATGGACATGCGTACAAGTGCTAACGGTTGGCTCCCTGGCAGCTTTGTGTTTTGGATAAATAGCGCCCCTCCGTGGACGAAAAAAACAAAACTGTCAGAATTAAGTAATTGGTGGAAGCTTTTCGTTTACAACTGCTACAATGGGAGACCGTCAAAGGTTAGAAGACGGCGTGCAGTGCTAAGTAGTTCGGTTATAGCCACTAAATAAGGATCCCGGGCCTTGTTTTGACGTTAGCCTCCGATAATGTGATGCTGTGTTGCTAGCAAACTCGACTATCGTTTGTTGACTAGCTAGCTGACAGCAGCAGCATGGAGTGACTGCGCTGGGAAAGAAAACGCCAAATCATTTTCTTATTTTAGAGTCAATGCTATCCGCCCGAGCAGTTGCGCTAAGTTTCACTCTAATAACGGTGGCCAAAACAATGAAGTCTGCAGCATCTACGACATCCTCTGAGTCTCGGGGGCTGCATGCAGCAGCCAGCCGGGATACGTTCACTGGTAGCCCACGGAAGAGGCTGCAGAAGCTCCCTGCTGTGCCTGGTTACGTCCCGAACCGAGTTAACGACCTGCTGCTGCTGCGGCCTGATACAAACAACCAGAGTGCTCCAGAGCCAAAGGAGAAGAGCAATAACAGGCATGTTGTGTTTTTCCACGGGGATATTCAGGTGAGTGGGATGAAGATGGAAACACGGTTGATTTGGGAGGGGTCTCACATTATAAAGACGATGACTGGCCTAACTGAACGATTTTAATCACTTACAGTAATTACAACGACAAATAGTATCTCTATTCAGGGATCTCCACACTAAAACCTGAGACACGCAAGATAACATATTGTCACAGGTCAAAACAGCATTAGAGGTTATTTCTGCACAATTGTAGTGTTTTGAAAACAGTACAACCTGTGGGATAGAAGCAGAGAGCATTGATTTCATGATGGTCCCTTCATTCCTTAATATTCTTTAGCCAGCCAGTTTTTTAATAGTTGAGCTTGTAGAAATGTTTAGGTAACGCCCATTAAACTTTATTATGAGCCTCAACCAAAAGTGCAAAGACTGAAGCTATAACAGCTGATTGATTTACAGAAAATGTGTATGAATATTGAAATTAAATGTGTGTAAATGTATCAAAAATTTAAGATTTTCTGTTTTGTCTTGTTGGTGCTGGTGCTAAGGCCATTTAATGGGCTATACAAATGTGTCACTGTATATTTCTTTCCTGTGCAGCCACATGGCTCAGTGATATGACCATTACATGCCATAAGACATTTACAGGGCAATTGTGACTTATTTTGCTGGTTTTTATAGCTTTTACACAACATGTGACATCTTATAGGTGTCACAAAAGGTAATCAGCAGAGTAAGTAACTTTTTTGTTTTACTGCTTCATAAAAAACAACTCAGGGAACCATGACCTGTCATTGTATATGTTGGGAAGCACATTTAGGCTTGCTTGCATTATAATTATTGTTTCCTGCTTTAGGAGAGTATGGTGTTCATTCTGCATAAATTACTGTTTACTGTCACTTTATAACACAAATCAGATATCACACAATAAATTGAAATGATTAAGTCTGAGAGAGGATTTGTACACATGAGTTTTGGTATTTGATCCTGTTACACTTGGCTGCTCTCTGCTACATTGATATCAAGTGAAGTTTATTTATATGGAGCTTCATCAGTGAATGAGCCTGTCTAGAGCTCAGTAATATAGTCACAACATTCAACTAAAAGCAGCTCTTCTCATCACTTAGTGAAAGTGTATCAAGCAGAGTGCACTGCACACAATGACGCCTTGTCCACTTACTGAGCCTCGGAGCAGAGCACAGCTCTGCACTGAGTGTTGTGATAAAATTCAACATGTTTATCTGAGTTGGAGCTGACACTTGCTAGTGTCAGCAGATAAACATGCTGGGTATTGCAGTCTGGCTAGACTGCAATACCCAGAATTCCACTGTGTAAAGATTTTATGGCCTGGAATTACAAAATAATTGACTAACACACACACACACACATACACACACATATATATATATAACTGGTCATATACTGCATCTATTCACTGTGTTATGTCTATTATTAGACAACCAAGATGAAAGTGTAACAAAGCTCATCAAGTCTGACCCATATAAACACACAACATTTTTAATTTTTACATATTACTTTTATGAGCAAATTAAACAAAGGGAACTTCCAAAATAACAAAATATTATGTCAGTAATTTAATAAAGACAATGTTTGGTGCTGGTATATGTAACGTATTCCACCATTGACACCAAGAGAACATTTAGTCATGTATTGCTGTATCTGTTAACCTGTGTTTCCTATCTTTTTTTTTTTTTTTTTTAAGTTATGTTTTGGGGGCTTTTTGTGCCTTTAATGGACAGGACAGTAGAGAGACAGGAAATGGGGAGGCAGAGAGAGGGGGAATGACACGCAGGAAAGGGCCGTCCGATGCGGGAGTCAAACCGGGGGCCAGCTGCAGCGAGGACTGTAGCCTCTATATATGGGGCGCCTGCGTAACCCACTGCAATATGCAACGCCCCGTTTCCTATCCTTTTAAACTGTAGAGAGCACAGGGCCAGAATAAATTATATTCTGGCAGAAATATATAGAGTTTCCTTAAATGGGCACATGTGATCCTTTTACACATTTAAGTAGAGACATTTTTTTAGTGCCTTCCACAAATGGGGGATTTAGTCATCAACATTTATGTTAACTATAAATTCAAAATGCTTGTTCTTCAAGATGACTAAATGTACGATACTGTATTATGGATTTGGAGCTCAGCCAGTCATGCAAGGACTTGCATACATTTTGGATTGAGCCACAAGAATGAAACAGGTGTTCTGTTGTTTCTACATTTACATGGGTCTGCTGTGGTGAAATGGTGTGTTGCTTTAAATTTAGGCAGAACAACATATTGTTATCATATCCTTGTCTAGATGATGAACATGCCTAATATTAATATTGCAAAAAAGGAAACAATATGGATGGTTAAACTGGACTAACCAAACACTTTGAAAACTTTGGTGGAGAAATATAAATCATCTTCTGTTATTTGGATATTATTAGTATTTTTTATTTTAATGCAGCCTCAGACAGTGATAGGTCTTTTGTGATCAATAAATTAGTTTGCGAAGTTACTGCATTTTCTACGTCCATTTGGTATTATGCTGTTTTTTGAAGAATGTTTCGTTTTCACTGTTGCTACACTTAGAATTTCAAATAAGTGTGAACCCATAGTCAGATCAGATATTTGGCAAATATCGAGGTATGACATTTTGTCCATATTTTGCTGCCCGACTTTAAATGTTACTGACGCAAGGAATTGTGGGACAACATTATATAATTTCCTTTAGTTAAGGACGGTCCAGTGTTTCCTATACTAAAGGAGATAAGGACATATTGAAGAAACCTTTCCTCAGAGAATTGGACCAGCTCTCATCATGGCTGCCACTGAGATACTTCAGGGTCATTTCACTCAGTGAGGAACCTTCCTAAGGAAAAAAAACACTTTCCAACGGCATCCTTTGTTTTTATCACAAGACGTCATAGTAAAAAAACAACAACAATAAAGCAAGCAAAGAAGAGAAGTGTTTCTAAACGTGTGCAGTTCTGAGTAAACTGCTTTAAACAATTGACATAGTAGTGTCTCTGTAGCGTGTGCCAAACCTGTAATTGCTGCAGCTGTCAGATTATGCAAAGATGTCTCACAGGCTTTTTGTTTCTTTTTATAGGACATTGAAGAGACACTTACTAATCAAGTGTCAAAATATAGAGGAGTTAAAGAAGATTAAATGTCACACGCTTGTTTTGCTTTCCTAATTGTTTTCAAGAATTCAAGACCTGCCCTCATTTATTACCAAGTGCCCAGTCCATCTGTTCACCGTCCTCATCTGCAATTCATTAGGCAACTTTCTTAGCAAGTGTTAATATTCCCACAGTGTGCTGGCATTTCCCAGGAGACGTTCGTATGCACGGGACGCTGTCACAGGGATGTGTCCATATAAATAACATGAATGAAGTCATTGTGTCCAGGACCACACACTGACAGTCTGACAGCAAAGTGAGAGGAAGCTGCTGATGGAACTAATTAAGTGGCCAAAGATACACTGAAGTGTGTGTGACGTCTTTAGTCAGACTCTCACCATGGCTGTCACCAGCAGTGTTTTGTTTTTGCTCAACGTTTGTCAGAGAAACACATGAAGATATTTTGACTTTTGGGGTGTTTTCATGGAGGAAACTGGGTTTTGGTTTGTTTGTTTGTTTGTTTGTTTGTATCCCTTCTTTAAAAGTCCCAGTAACACAGCCAAAGCAAACCCCTCTCCTCCTCAGCTACAAGAGTTTATGCTACAACATGCACTTCATCTTGTTAAGATAGGCACTAAAAGCTAATTTTAAAACAAACTGGGGAATTAGGGTCACAAGTAAATACAGAGTGATAATGGGTATGTATCCCTTTTTCTATGTTATTCCAGTATGAGCAGGTAAAACATGTATTGCAGCTCTCAACCATCTCTGTCTGTGTACTGTTTGTGCAGAACTTCCAGGAGGAGATGGCTCTGCAGCCCGAGGGAGCCCAGTGGCTCTCCTGGAGTCTGGAGCAGGTGGCCTTCACCCTGGGCCGACGTTTCCCCGACCGATACGTTTGGGTGATCAGAGCCTCGCGCATGTATCTCCACAAGTTCAGCTGCTACCACAACTTTGTGGAGAGCAACATGTTCGGGGCGCCAGAGCACTCGCCCTACTTACCCGACATTGGAGCGTTTCGCCATCTCAGGTTTTTGGCTTCTTTGCATTTGCATTCGATGCCAGCTTTTGGTACTCTACAGTTTTTTTTACACTGTTATGGACAGATGTCAGACACCCCTTACTACTGCATGAATTGCTTGTGAATGAGTTTTAAATGCTTCAGATTTGTGTTAAGTCTGTGCCAAGTTCTCAAAAACGTGAGCTTACACAGGAAAGCTGCACTGACAGAGAGAAAGTGGACACAAATCAGTCAAAGGTGAGGCCTGAGAAATTTTGAAGGGTCCCCTGGGGTTTGTGTGATGTAAATTCTGTCTACAGAGGCTGTATATGAAGCTCTGTGTGGACGTTTGTGTACCCCCCAATTTGTTGGGTCTTCACATCTTCTACTACAGGGTGAATTTTACTGTGCATGCGCTCTTCTAAGCAGACTAGAAAGAAGTATAATAAGAGCAGCTACATGTCTGTGGTGACTGCAGCAGGGAGTAACTGTGACAGTGTCAACACATCCTCACCAGCTTTACAAAGGAAGGATTTAGTGCAGGTTGTTTGTGTCGTAGCAGGCGTGTTGTGAGTCTGAACAGTATTTGTGTTTGCAGGTCCCTGCTGAGCCACGGCATGGAGCGAGCCAACCTACCAAACCCCCTCCAGCCACAAGGAGGCGCTGACAGCATCCCCTCAGGGTTTTCACTGGCACTGGTGGGCTTCAGCAAAGGCTGCGTGGTGCTGAACCAGATGGTGTACGAGCTGGGCGGCGCCCGCGCCGACCCGCAGATGTCTCCTTTCATTAAATGCATCTCGGCCATATACTGGCTGGACGGTGGACACCCGGGGGGCAGTGAGACCTGGGTGACAGACAAGCTGGTGCTGAAGGAGCTGGCTGCCAGTGGAGTGTCAGTTCACGCCCACGTGACCCCGTATGAGGTGTGTGACCCGATGCGGGCCTGGGTTGGCCGCGAGCACGGACACTTCATCAAAACCCTGGAGGAGTTTGGGGCCTGTCCCAGTAAGAAGCTGCATTTTGAGGATGAGCCCCCCTCCATTGAGAACCACTTCAGGGTCATCGAGGAGTTTTGAGTTTGCTGTGAGCATGTCTCACACACACACACACACACACACACACACACACACACACACACACACACACACACACACACACACACACACACAGCTGATTGGTTGAACATCACTGAGCGCTTTAGATGACCTATTAGAGAGCAGGTTGTGTCTTATTCGCTGGTCTTACCTCAATTTCTTGGTGATTTAAGGGCTCAGACTTTAGAGCATGTGACAGCTGCTGGTGTGTTGTATCTTTATTTCCTTTCTACGGCTAAATGCACTTAATCTGAGGTGGAATGATCAAGGCGCCTTCCCCTTCTCCCCCATGGCCCTTAGTAGGAACATGCAGGTATGAAAAGAACAGATCTTGGATAATTTTGACACCGTGTCTTCCTGCTTTATTATGTTACATTTCAGACTAAATGTAAGATTTTACATTTGATTATGGCTCAGACTTGAGACTTGGAAACATGAATGATTTATGTTGTTTCAGTTTGATTCTGCTTATAAGGGAATTTCTATAATTTAAGGTGTAAATGTTGGTGTAACATTGTGACTTATTTTTTGGCTAATTGTTTGGCTGAGGACGAGCAGCTTATTACATTCTCCTAATACCTGCACTTGTGTTGAGCTACTCTTAGACACGTGAATGTCTGAATGTCTGAACTCTCAGGTTCAGACTTCATCAGTCGGTCTCACAGTGGTGATTCTTGATTGTACCTTAACTGTGGCTGACTAATTAAGCCAAGTACTTGTTCAGAAAGTTAAAAACAGTTCTGTCATTCCCTCAGCGTGATCCTGATGGTGGATTTTCCACCAGTAATTTGTCAGAGCTTTTCTGTTTAATGTCAGATAGCTGCACTCTAAGAGAAAAATGAAAAACCAAAGCTTGCAAGCTTTATTTAGGAAGCATTCCTTTTCTTTCCTTTTTTTTTTCTTTACCATAGCCAGCTTATTATGTGTACATATACATAACCAAATCTGCTCGTTATAACAGTGAACTAATACTAATAACAGCTGACATAGGCTACGTCCACACTAATGTTTTTGTGTTAAAACAGACACAATCCGTCCAGACTAACACACCTGAGAACACATATCACATGACCGTTCACGTACACTGGGTATGCATTAGCCGGTGTAAACAGGAAGCAGATTGTCTTCTCTGCAGTTGATTAGCTGCAGAAAATACCACGTCGGAGGGACAGCTGTAGAGTTAAAATACAGAATTTAACTGATAACAGCTGCCAGCAAAGACAACAGGGACAGAAACACTTGTAATTTGTTATCCGTGATGCATTCACTGCTGGTAGTCGAGGCTGATAAGAGCCAATCAGGAGGCAAGTGTGGATGTCTCCATCTTGTCCAGACCAAAACACCACCCTGGCATTGTCAAACTAAAATGCGGTCAGCAGTCTCTGTTTCGGAGCAGTGCGGCTGGCAGGCGTGAACCTATCAAAAGTGATGCCATTTAAAACTAAGACGAATTAGTGTGGATGTAGACACAATCTCTCCTCATGGTCCATTTAGTAGTGGCTGTCCTGGAGCTTTTGATCATATCACATGATCTTCATCAGCTGATGGAGTTCAGTTGCTTTGAACGTCTGATGAAGATCATATGGACCTTGAGGTGAGATTTTTTTTCAAATGCATTTCAGGTTTTTTAAGTTTAAGAATAAACTTTCAAACAATATATTATTTTAATAATAACATTCTCTGACACATCAGCTGATTTCATAACCAACCTCACTTATGTAATTTTTTCCAAATATTAACTGATATTAATTTGTCTTTTTGATTGGATTTTCTCCTCACAACATCTTATGCATTTTTATGTTGACACCATACCAAATTACCTTATAAATAAAAAAAGGTAGTAGACAAACTGTAATGATGTTTACAATGTTAACTTTTTTGTTAAATGAATTAAGTTTGGAAGTTGCATTAACAAGATGATATATCTTAATTTTCTTTGTCTCATGGTTGTTATATATTTATATATGTTCTGTACTGTTTTAATCTGACTGCAGCAATGTGCACTGCAATATGTAAAAATACAAACACTTGCTAATTTTGTCTGAACTGTCTGGTAAAATAATGTGGCTTGTTCAGGTTAGACTGCTGGTGACCTGTCAGTGTTGGCAGCATGCATATTCATCTGTGTATGATCTGTGTCAGCTTACATAGCATCTTTGCACTGTGCTGAGGCTGCAGCTCATTTTGCTGAATGTAACTTCAGACCATTCCATTATGTTTACTACTTGCTGTTAAAAAACCTGAGAGTATGAGAAGGACAGATATCAACCTTTTTAAAAATACATAATTTAGCTAGTGCACAGGCAACATAACATACAGTGATTTAAATCATCTGCTCACTAATAAACACCATGCCACTTTGTCCTGTTAACGGTTAATGATGGAGAGTCTGCAGCACAGGTAGTGGAGTCTGAGGAGTCTGTCTCAGCTCTCTGGAATCAGCAGGTGGCAGCAGTGTGGAGGAAGCAGAAAGTAAACTCAACAAAAGACATTGAATGCACCATCAGATATTTTCTACAATGTTTAATGAGCTTTTTCAGTTTGCTTTGTGATGCCTACATATTAGCCTGCAGTTGATCAGAATACAATACAGATTATGTCTCTTTTTTTTTTTTTAAGTCATTTCAGATGCAATCAGAATTCTCATACATTAAAAAAATATAAAATGCAAAATAAACAAACATTTCTTCAACATTTATTTGCTTGTGCTTGTGGCTGGTTTGACTTGAATCTACAGTGACCTTCAGGCTCGCTGCAGTCAGAGAAAAGAAACAAGTGTTAGGTGACATCAGTGGCGCTTCACTTCTCCAGGAGGATGACCCAACCTCCTGCTCAGACAATGAGCACTCACACACACAGGCCACCGAGTGACAAGCTGCTGAAAATAACACAGTAGAATAGCTGTACAACATAACAGAACACCACAGCATAGGTCACGTTCAAGTGACAGATGAACAATGCCAGCAAACACGAGACACCTCGTCCAAAGCTTTTCGTCATCCTGCAAAGCGAGATCCCTGACATCACTGCAAAACAAGTCCATCTTCTTCGTGATTTGCTACGTGTCAAGTCTTAAATCTTGTTTTTACAGATTCTGCTGCAACAGGAAAGACAGCCTCACTTGTTTCTGTACAACTGAGCTTGAAAATGTAAGACTTCCTTTGTCAAGGCTCCTCAGCTCAGCCTGAATCAAGATGACTTTCAGACAGTCGCCTGTTTGAAGAGGTATTAGAAACTAGACTCTGAGAAGTTTTAACTCTTGAGATGAAGTAAGCTTATTTCCTTTTCCAGTAGTAAAAGAGACATTAATCTATAATCTCCTGACGGTGTCACTCTGACATACCTGTCATCTTAAATCCAATCTGCTAACTCAGTGAGATGAACATCTTTTACAGTGTGGTGTTCCAGTTTTTTTAAAGGATGACAGCATACAGATGAGAGCACGGCCGTGGCTGAAGACGCCCATCTCCCACACAAAGGCCATTGTGGCGGCTGGTGACAACAACAAACAAACACAATGTGGTCTTATTCAGTTTGGCACCTCGCAACAAAAAGAGGAATGTTTCACTGGAGGTTAAGAGCTTTCAGAGTTGCCAGCTTTAAGAGAGGTGAGGTTTTTTTTCTTTTTTTTTTTTCCCTCATACAAGTCTTACTTGAACAAAAGATGGTAAATCCTGTGAGTCAATAGCATTGCATTACATTACATGAACTCATTTGGCAATTACAAGCGAGCACCTCGGATTTCACATTGTACAGCGGTTCCGTCACGCTACATCTCTCTCTAAAACTTTACAGTGAAACCATCGCATCCACTTTATCATCACCCAGAATACCTTTCATGCCAACATATCTCAACAGCCAACATCAGAATGTAAACCAACAGGTCTACATTTTGGGAAATAACCCTCAAATAACCCCCCCTGCTTCGTTCAAGACCAACACATCAAAGTATTTAATCATCTTCCTCGCAACTAAAACCATCTGACTCATCTAGACCATTTTCACATTCTTGCTTTACTTCCTGGTACCACCTTAAAAAAATAACCAACTAATCCTCACTTCCATCCTCCCATTTCACTGCAGTCAAACATTTATTATTCATCACACTGTAACCACAACAGCATCTTCTTGTTTTAAATAACACCATAATCATTCGGAATCACCTGCCTCCCCCCATAACCCTCCTCATACAAGACACGTGAGCACATTATTTGCATAAAAATATAAAGTATAAGTTCAGCACATAAATAATAATAGGCCAATAAGAATAACATTAAGACTCCAAAACAAAGAGAGAGAGAGAGAGAGAGAGAGAGCAGCTTGCCCTGAGATGAAAACAACAGGAACAGATTTACTTCAGGCACCCAGGAGGTCTGGAGTAGCTTTGACTGTGAAAGCAGAGTGAATGGCTTTGGTGAGGGACTGAAAGACACAATGAACCTCTCGAGGACACACAAACTTTCATAAATAGCTCCTGCTTATCAGCTCAAAACGTGTGCTTATGAAGTAAGTGCTGAAGTCGGCCAACAAAGAGGAACTGGGAGCTCGGTGAGGAAATCATTTGAGTAAGTGCGGGTGTGGCGCATGAACCACTGCATGACTCATTAGCTTTCTGAGCCGTTACAGTTATACGTTCCTATCTCACTATGGAAGGACGAACAAGAATTCCATGAGTACCATGAGTTGTTGCTCACTCTTTAACATTTTTTTTTCTTTTCAATAATAACCCAAATACAAGACTGACATGTGGAGGCCTTTCAGCTCTGTGGACGGGGGACTACACTGTGGTTCAAGTTATTAAAAGGAGCTGTATCTAAAACCCTGAGCTAAATTTAAACCCTCAATCTAAAGCAGACATGGAGAAAATGAAAGTGTGACACTGTGGGACTCAAGGCAAACATATAAGGAATGTAATTGTGTGTAATCGTGTTCGTCTGCTGGTTGTGTTTCAAGTAGAAGTGCAGTTATGTTGCAGGTAGGAAGAGACGGAGCTCAGACATGTACAGCGGCAGGTTTTAGCAGCTTTCACTAAAACTATAGTGCTGATGAAACGTATCCAGACACAGAGCCAAATAAAACTCAACCTGGTTTCCCATGATGCCGCTGTTTGGCTGTACCCTGTTCTCTTCAACATGCAAATAAGGACATTATCACACTTCCTCACAGCAGAGGTGCTTATCTCGACATCATGTTTCTGCTGAAGCACAAGTGCAAGGCTGGTGACCAGAACACTTAACTTCCCACATTAAGGCAGAGTGCGATTAACTTCTTTAAGATTCCTCCAGAAAAAAGAATTCAAATATACAAGAGAAGTATTGCATAGATATCCCTAGAAATACTCCACTAGCCTTCATCCGTACAGGGACACACACATACAGAGCAGATTTATGCAGCCCCTGAAAACACCAAGGATTTCAACAACAACAGAATTAAATACTTTAGGTTAAACACACTGCATTAATTGAGACATTTCACACGTTTTAACAGCAATGGATCAGTGACAGATCTCAAAACGTAGCTGGTTATCTTTGGTCTGAGTGGTCGATCTTACAGATTAGTGGAGTATAAACACAACCTAAGCGCTCTGAGTGGTGGGCAGCAAACAGCTGGTTTTGTGGAGGCTTAAAAAAGACTTTAAAAGCTGAGAGGAAGAAGTGGGCACCGCTGCCTTCAGTTCCTCCCCTTTTTTTTTTTTTTTTTACATTTTAATTTTTCAAAAGTCACCGTCTCCGGGAGCGGAGGTTTCCTCGTCGAAGCGAAACCTTTTTGCGTGAGAGTGCGGGGACTCCAGGAAGTTCTCCTTGTCTTCAGGGTCTTCGGATGGGGCCGCCCACTTGGTGCCACAGCTCCTTTCGCGGACGGTGCGGGTGGTGGCGGGGTCGGGGCTCAGGCACAGCTGCTGCTGCCATAGCCAAGGGTGACTCATGCACTCTGCAGCACTGGGCCGGTCCCTGTGGTCAGAGCACAACGGAAAACACTTAGAATCCAACACTGCCGCTCAAGACCTGCAGCTAATAATCGTTTTCATTATTGATCAATATGTTGGTTATTTTCTGAATTGATTTGTTAATTAATAAGTAAATAGATTTTTTTGGTTGTAGAACCCAAGGTGATGAATTTAGATTTATTGATTTGTCTGACCTGTGTGCAGTTTACTATAATGTGTGACACGGAAAAGCAGAAAATGGTAATATTTAAGAAGCTTGAACTTGGCTATATAATTATATTGCTGTAATAGACTGTATGTTCCAGGAATAAGCCAATAGCGCTGCCACTAAACAGCAGTTCAAAGTTTTATTGTTTTATTGTAAGAAAAAGTAAAAAAAAAAAAAAAAAAAAAAAAAAAAGATATTCAAATATTCAATATTATTGAACATAGGCCCAAGACAAGCTGGAACCTTCATGTTTGGCATTTTGGCTTGAAAAATGACAAAATATTCTGTAGCTACTGCTTAATCTTCTATTGATTCATTGACAAATTATTTGAGCAGCAATTGAATCTAAATCCTATTAAAATGTCAAGTGAAACTCATTTTCATTGGTCAATGTACAACATTCAGAAAATCTTCACAATCCAAGTGATTGTTTTCCAGTTTATCAGGGACAACAGTTTTCTACCAGACTTCCTCCTACACACAGGGACAGGATTAAGGGAAGACAACATGATGAACAGAGGTGATTCACTTGTTAATAACTACATTGTCAGCATATTCTTGTGGTTACACAGATCTTTATTGTGTAATTAAAAAAAAAAAGCTTTATTTGCTCTGGAATGTGCACAGGCTCGTTGGCTGATGTGTGCGGGTCCTTCACACACCAGTGGAACGTCTCTAAAATAAAACATTACGTGTCGGTTGTTTCCCCATGGAAAGACATTCCTCATCCTTTAGTTTACAGCTCTGTGTTACCATTCAGAATAAATCATTGCACTGTGTGTGTTTCGTTACTCACTCTGGAGCTTTGACCAGCAGCTTGCGGATGAAGTCCACAGACAGCTCAGACACCCTGGAGAAGGCGTCGCTGCTGTAGTCCACGTTGACCTGGGACACGTTCAGATACGTCTCCTGCTTGTCGTCCCCGACAAACGGAGACTCGCCCGTCACCAGCATGTAGGCTATGACACCCACGCTCCTGAGGGATGGAAACATGCATGAAGGACACAGTCAAAACATGTCCTGGAGCGGCTGTGGGCTGAGTACCAGAGGGTGGTACTTTCAGAGGCTGCTAATGGAACTTATTTTATTGAAAAACAACCAAATAGACAAAAGAAAAAAGTCTCTATTTTCATATTTCTACTTTGTGGTTTGTGGATTTACACTGCTCCTTAAAATCAACCTGTCTGAGACTCTCACAGTTTGTGTTGCTGACACTGCTGGACTCCAGGGGTCAAGAAATGAAACTACACAGTTTCCTTCCAATCACCACAATGAATCACTGAACAGCTGCTGAACACACACTCTTTACATTGTAAGAACTGACTCACCACAAGTCGGTCGCTGTTGTGATTGGTTCATAATTCAGGATCTCTGGAGCTGAATGAAAGAAAAAGTTATTTGTCATTAAAATTACAAGAAAGTCACGCATTTCTGTTGTGTCTTCACAAACGAGTTTCCGTTTCTTAGTTGTGGTAAAAAACAAATGAAACTCATGAGGGTGCTGGCAGAGAAAGAGTTCCTTGAGGTCTGTGTGACTGGATTAAAGCCAGTTTTTCTTGCATGACAGGACCACAGGTCTGTATGTCAAGCCAGTCTGTGTGTACATGCAGTGGAATTAATGCTAACGACGCTAATGATTTCTCAATAACTGTAAACAGCTTCAGTTGTAAGCTTAATAGGTTGAGACTCTATTATCATACCATAAGACAGGTTTTACTCTAGAGTTTTTTCCCCTGACACACTTGTTTTTGAGTGATCAAAGTGTGTTTTAGGAACATCACCTTACCCACATACTCAGGTGTGCCAAGAATCTCCCGCAGCTCTCCAACCGCACCCAGTCTACGTGCCAGGCCAAAGTCTACGATCTTTATGTCCCCTGGAGGAGTCAGGCTGGTCAGGAGGATATTCTGTGGCTGAGAAGAAAAAACACAAAGAGGAAACAGTCAACATCGTGTGAAAGCAGAAGTGGTGCTGAGATGATAGGTACTTTTAACTTGGGAACAAAACTTATTACACAAATCAAGCAGTTTTTCTCAACATCTCTTTGAATATGACTCTGAGGGAGAGGTGTTTACCTTCCTGTCAGTGTTTCTAATAGGACTATTTGTTTAAGTACTGAAAATATATCGCCCATATGACACTGTTTAAACACTAGTATTACATGTTTGGAGGCAGAGGTTGAGAACATACAGTTACACAGGACATATTTGTTTTGTTTCTGACAATGATTTGCATCTACATGTCTATTTCTACGTCGCCCACGCGACTACGCTTTCATTTTAAAATGAAAAGAAGCTTCGTCTAAGAAAACAGCTGTCTTAGCTCCTGTCAGAAACGATCTCTGTCCAGACTAACACGCCTGAAAACACATATTACCTGACTGTTCACGTACACTGGGCATGCGCGTGCTGGTGTAAACAGGAAGCCGATTGTTGGTTACTTGCAGAAAATACTACTATGAGGAACAGCAAAGACACTTGTGGTGTTAAAATACACCACTCAACTGCAAACCAGCAGCTAGCGAAGACAACAAGGCCAGTAACACTTGTAATTCATTATCATGTTGTATTCACCACTGGTACTTGAGGCTGATGAGACCCAACCAGGGAGTGCACCTGGGTGTCTACATCAGGTGCTGTGTCTCAACTTGCTTACTTCAATACTCACACTTGCTATTTAGAATGCCCAAGTGTGTTCACATAGGCAAGTATGGCAACATGGACCTGGTGAGTGCACAACGGCCGTGTTTGATATGGGACAACACCACCCTGTTGAAATTCACGCACTACACCATTGAGTATACAAGTATCTGATTTGAAACACAGCAAGAGTTTCCAAGTCTCCGTTTAAACGCACATAATCTCTGGAGTGGTGTGGACGCCAGGCGTACATGTAAAGAGATGCATTTTAAAACTACTATGTTAGTGTGGATGTAGCCTATGTCTTTCGGTTGGTATCAGGCCCTTTATTTCACAGCCTGGTGTCAGTGATGCAGGAGTGGTGTTAAAGTCCCTTATTTTACAGTATGCTATTGAGTTTCCTCACTTTGCCCTGGGCTAACGCTCTGTTCCCATCTATAATCCTGGTTCTGGTCTTAACTGTGTCATGGAAAAAGGAAATTGGGGTTTTCAGAGCAATTGCTCCAAAAAAAAAAAAAAAAGGAATAAACACAGCTGAGCACTTAAATGTGTAAACATGTAAAAATAGATTCCTGTGGCTTCAGCTACAGCCATGCATGTGATTCTATGTGTGTGTTTGTGTGTGTGTGTGTGTGTGTGTGTGTGTGTGTGTGTGTGTGTGTGTGTGTGTGCAAACCTTCAGGTCTAAGTGCACCAGGTTGCTCTGGTGGAGGTAGTGGACTCCCTCCAGCATCTGCCTGATCAGACGGGTGATCTGTGCCTCTGGCAGCAGCTCGTCAGACACACAGTGGTCAAATATCTCTCCACCCGCCGCACTGGGTAAAGACAGAGAACACAAACACGCTGTAAATACACGCCCGCACGCACGCGCGCACGCACGCGCGCTCGCACGCGTGCTCGCACGCACAGGGTAGGTTCAGGAAACGGTCACTGAAACACCAGGCAATTTAGTGACATTTGATGCCATTTGGATGTGAAGGGCGGCCTGGTGGTTTAAGTGGCCAAACCTATAGCCGAAGGGTCACCAGTTTGATCCTGCATGTCCTGGCAAAGTGTTGTTGAGCAACACTGTATGTGGGAGTGTCAGCCAAAGACACAGAGTGGGACAAGCCCTAAAACTGAGCCTGGATCTGATTTTATTATAGTTCAAGTTATTCAAGTTTCTAATTTTATATTTCTCAAGAGTCTCTTCCATTTGTCCAGGCTGTGTTCGATCGAGAGAGAGTGACTTCTCCACACTGTCTTTGCTCTCAGGATTAAAGTGTCTCCAACGACAAGTACTAAAGGTTAAAAAATTACAGCAATTCACTGCAGGACAAACACTCTGTTCCTTTATAGCCAATCTACGTCTCACATCTAGTTTTCTGTTTTGCTGATACAAAGGAGTAAGAGGAATGATATGCCAGACAAGGAAGACATGATTTAACATGAATCCAAAGGTCAGGATATGACGTTGATGACGCCTCAGAGAGAATATGTTCAGTCAAGTCGTCGACATGCAGAGTTCAGCTCAGGCTGTTCAGTGCGTTTAGAAGACACACTGGGCCTTTCAGTCTTTGAACAAATGTTGAGAAGAATGAGCTGCTTGGCTTCATATAAAAAGCAGATAAAGTGGCAACTCCTTAAAACTGGACCGACAGGACTTTGTCCTGAAAAAGGCATTTACAGGACTGTGCTGCTTGTTTGTGGTTTCGCTGGTGTTAGTGAAACGATAAATGAAATCGGATTTACTGCGCGTTAGATGAAAAAGGTAAAAGAATATATTAATGGTTGTCATCAACTCACTATTCCAGCACTAAGACGATGTCGTGATCCGTCTCGTAAGCAGCGTGCAGGTTGACCACCCGGGCGTTGTTACGGGCCATCTCCAGGACGGCCATCTCGTGAATGACCTCGGCCCGGCAGTCACGTCCTCTCCTTCTCTTCCGTAAGAACTTAGCAGCAAACACTTTCCCTGAGACCTTCTCCACACAGCGCTTCACCACTGCAAACTTCCCCCTGAGGGACAGAAAGCGGTGTCACAATATGTTAAAGCCTGAAATATCATAGGTCGTTGTCTGGTTACTATTCATGATATCTTATTTTATAGTAGAGAAGAGTAGTAAGGTTTAAGGTGGTCTGGTAGAAATGTTGTTTAATAACTGCTAAATTTAATGGCTTCATATGGTTAATTTAGACAAAATATTTCAACATGATTCCACAACACTTTCACAAAATACTGACATTGATTAAAGCTCCATATTTTCTTCTCCTTCTGTGTTTTATTTGAGGGTTTTAGGAACCATCTCAAAAAAAACCATCTCAATGTAGTTTGACATCTCCTCGCTCAGGCTTCTCTCTGGAGCTCTAGTAACAACAGGTCGGTGAGCCAATCAGAAGAGAGGAGGCTCTGAGCCTCTCTTCTGATTGGCTGACTGTTTTCTGAGTGATCCAATAAAAATATAGCAGATTTCAGGTAAACACTCCAATCCAAAGGTTGGGTGGTGGGTCCAGGTAGGCAGGGTTTGGGGCATGGCTGAGAGCAGTGACTGCTTTGTTGTGATATCACAAAGTTACAGACGTCCTGCCCGCTGGTTTTAAGGCTCAGTTTGTGCATTTCTCTGTGGACTGAGCGCTTTGATACTTTCACAGTATTAATATAGAACCTAGACCTGCTTTATAATCAAACTACACATGGACATCTGTCTTTATACTATATGGACCTTTAATATATTGCCCAACTTAAATGACATATCTTTAAGTAAATGATTGCAGCATTGGGACAACGGTGCTACACAAACACTGGCATTTGATAACAGGCATCTGCAGGTTATCTGATGCCAGTGAACTGGTGTTCACATTTCTAGGTCATAGGCGTAATTGCTCATGATAATCAAGACTGAGAAGAGATAAGTAAGGTACTTGATTTAAGTGTCATAATTCATCATGCTGATGAACCTGACAACTCAACTACACAGAATGATAAACAGCATGCAGCGCTAATATAGTGTTCCTGACACATAACATACATTTGAGTCTGTGCTTCAAGCTCATCTTCTTTGGCTGGCAGGTTAGCAAAGAAAACATGTACCACAAAGTGTTAAACTATTCTCCAGAGAATACCCCCCACTACAAACCTTTGGCAATCAGCTGATATTTTATGTAATTTCTCCACAAAGCCTTGCAATGAAAGAAAAAAATCTAATCCAAAAATAGCAGCTTTATGAGCACCAAGAGCAATGACTGAAGGTTACAGACCCAGAAGGACTTCTCTGAAAGAATAGAACAATGGTGCTAAATGATCTGACTCCTGTAGCACCACCTGCCAATGTTACAATCATATTTTCATCCAGTTTTAGCATTAGATACACAAAATGAGTCTGTGCACATTTTCAAAGCTTATAGCACAGCGTGATACTGAAGAATTCTGGGGAGACTTTTTATTTTACAGTTATAAAAGTAGTACTCCGGCAATCGAGTAATCTTCCAATAATTCTGGTTGACATATAAGAGACGGAAAAAACAATCATGGTGAAAATCACAACAGCAGAGGCTGAAATATTCTGACCTTTAGTCCCTAATATGAGCCAAACTCTTACACTGCTGGATCCTATAATTACCATAATGCAACTCACAAGTCTTTTGTTAGACACCCCCTCTAACCAGCAAATGCCCCAATCTGTCAAACTCCACATCTCCTGTTGACAGCTATGCTTTCTATTAAAGATTTATAATCTCCAGGCACAGGCACAGTCTCCAACACTGCAGCCAGACTCTTAACTAAAACAAAGAAAATACATTACATTACCCCTCTGCTGAAGGTTGCACTGGCTTCCTGGACTTTTTAAATACTTTTACTTGTTTATAACATTTTAAATGACCTCACTCCTCGCTATACCAGACTGACTTTTATTATTGACTTTTATTCATCATTTTACCGTTTTATTATCATAGATTTTAACCTGCGTACTTTCTTTTTTGTGTGTCTTTGCACTTTGGGCTATGTGTTTGTATGAAAGGTGCTATTTAAATAAAGTTGAGATGAGATAACCCTGATGACATCAGGGTTATTTCCTCTGGACAAAACCTCTCCAGAGACTACAGTACAACTGTTTTTATAGGCTGACTAAGACTCCTACTGACATGTAAACACACCTTCATGTGTAAGACTGGTTCTCTGCCATTTTGATAAATCCACATGAATCAACTTCTGGCCAGAAAAACATAAAAAAAGGTGACAGATACACAACCCCTGTGTACCAGTCCACAGTTAAAGGTTATGATTGGTTTAATTAAGGCTATGATGTACCATAGCTACAAATTCATTTAAAGGGAGGAACTAGATATAGTAGATTTTTTAGGCTAACACTACTGCCCTTATCATGTTCTTCAGAATATTCCACCTCAGAACTTCCTGTTTTGACACACACACACACACACACACAGTGAACAGAAGTGGTCTGTACCATTTCTTCTTTCTAAAGCCTGGTTTGCACATGTGCTTGTTTCCTTCCTCAGGTTTTAAAAGCAGAATTGTACAGTTCATGGTGTATGACAAATTATTTCACACCTCACAGATCTCTGAATGTGATCATCAACCATCAGTAGTTGCCATGGGTCACGCACACAGTGCCAAACACATGACAAAGGTCTACTGTAACACGATCGAGTCAGGTCCCTGGCACTGCGAGGCTCACATGTTTACTGTGGTTAAAGCTTTACAGGTCAGAATCCAAATGCTGTTAATGTTGGTGTAGTGATTTACATGAACTGTGCTAAACTTAAGAGCAAATACAGAAACTACAGACAATATGGACTTGACTATATATTACTATACGCTGATACATAAAGGATACAGTAGTCTTTGGCAAAAAAAGGAAATTCTTCAGGCATCCTGTAAATGTTTCTGTTGTCCATGTGTGAGATGTGAAAAATTCAGTTTTTCTCTCATGCCATCTACCTCTCAGTCACCCAGTTTAGTCTCCATCTTTACTCTTTGTAAGTCGACAGAAACTGACCCTCATTTGTAAATATGTAACAATACAGTGCATGCTACTGTTTTGTTCAATCCATGTCTCTCAATATGTGCATGTTTCAACACATTTTCAGACAAATGCTATGATTGATAAGCAAAGATGTTTTTGTCACAGAATCTAGTTGCTTTTGTGATATTGTACAGCACTGTATTGTTTGTTTTGTTATAAGCTGCTAAGAAAATACAAGGTGACTTCTTCAAAATACTTGTTTTGTACGACCAACATTCCAAAAAATATTCATTTATCATACTCATACATTTTACATTATTTTTAAGAAAAAAAAGCAAATCCTCACATTTGTGAGGAACTACTAGGAAATGGCTGCTTCCATTGAATGACTACTGAATACTGAATGATACTTCATGATAGTATGATGTACTTTGTACTTCCATAAAGTTGAATGTCATGAGAAACTGAAAATGGAAACGAATGACACACTCTCACGCTCTCCTTGATGCACTGATCCACTGATGTTTTCCTATGACCTGTCAGCTTGGATAGTTGACAGTGATTGTGAACGTTCAGAACAGACATGCTTGTAATGCAATGCCTTCTATACTGCACTATTTACACTATTACTAATAGTATTTCCTAATAACAACCCAAATTAATAGAAAATACAAATTTTCCACTTGATATATCCCAGTCCTACTGAGTGAACAACTTTTAAACTTCCTGCAGACTTTTCTGCCCGGAGGACAGCCTCTGACCCTCTCCCGTGAGCAGCAGTCATACATGTGTGCCTCACCTTCCCAGCTCTGCGGTGATTTCATACACACTCTCCATCGCCTCCGTGCTGATTGGGGTCTGAATTTCGCCGAGCAGCCCCGCGGAGAGTCCGCTGCGACTGTCCAGCCGCCTCCGAGACATCTTCCTCTCCCTTCGGTATCACTCCTGCTGCCAGCTACCAGACTGGATACCGCACTGAACGCCAAGTAAATGAAAGACGATAAAACTAACCTAAGTGGCTAGTTAACACTTTCCTGCTTCACATTAGTTACATGTTAATGTTAGCAAAGCCGGTAACCGTGCTATTTTTTGGGTTAGTTTTCCGACTCTGGTTAGCTCAACTGTCGCTAATTAAGTTAGCTCGACGGTCAATGTCGCGGATTCAAAAGTAGTTAGTCCGATTTTCCTCGGCTGACCTGAAGAGGAGCGGCTACTCTATCAAATCTAAACCTACGAGTGCCTCCTGTTAGTCAATGATCAAACTCCCGCTGTGTGCCACTGTTAAACAGCTTAGTATCTAAGTTTACCCACAGAGTTTCCGATCATTTTCACATCCCTCTGTTTGACACTTTGTCGACACGTCACTGCTCGGCGCATGCGCATTATAGTTATGTTTGAAAAAAGCGTGGCCACGTTTATTTGAAATGAGAATATTATGGAGAATAGTTGTTACAGGTGTTTAACCTATAATTATTTACTCTTTAACAATCATTCATCATCAATCACAATACATCTCTGAAGACAGCAGCGTATTTCGGCCAAGACAAAAAAAATAGATGATATTTTCAGGAATATCATAATAAAAAAAAACATAAAGTAACGTTAACGAGATGTTAAATCAAAAATCTAACTTTCAAGTGTCATAAATTTGACAAATTAAGTAAAAAATTATAAGATTCCAATATAATTATGAGAAAATAATTGAAACCATTTACTTTCTAAATCATATGAGAAACAAAGTCAAAATTTCTATTTATTAGGCCTATCTATTATTTGTAGTTTTAAAAATCAGACTTTTATCATAATTTATTATAGTTAATATTTTGACTTATATGTCCGAATTAGGAGTTAATAAATCACATGTATGAGTGAATTATCATATATAGAAAAACTTCTGAGATATTGCATCATATTTGTGAGATACAAATTATGAATTATTATACCAAAATGTTGATGCAGTATCCCATAATTCCTACACATAATATGTCGTAGTATGTTATAATTAAAATTTACCATGAGCATTTATTGATTTATTTATTTCGTTTTGTCATTTCATCTAGTTTTTTCTTTTCCTTGCAGAAGTGAACTTCCAAATAATTCATCCTGCTGTGCACATGTAAGTTTATTAACATCTGGCAAAGCATCTGGAGGCAATGAAAGCTCCACACTGACCTCAGCATCCAACCCGTAAAGACTCAAACTTCTCATAGAAACATGCAATTACAAATGTATAAAGTATGTTTATAGTTTGATATTTAAAAAAAAAATTCTACCCATGTTATCTTTAAGCTTTTTATTTAGTTAGTTTCACTTGCCAGATTTATCTTTTCCTTTTTTCGACATATTTGACTGGAACTGGTTAGAACTGGTGTTGGTTACTGATCATGAAATGTTTCATGTTTCAAACATTAGTTTTATAAAAGCAGAATATATAACTTTAGCATAAGTACAATGCAGATAATACATTTTGTTATTTACACACTGAATTAGTACAAAATGATTGTAATGGAGAAATAAGGGTCACGTGTCATTAATCAAAATTTGCCATTTGTTCTCTTTTATTACAATCATTGGGGTGAAATGGAGACACACGTACAGGAGCTTTGCATAGAGTGGAAATCTGAAAAGTGGAGCCGGGTCCTGTCAGAAATGCACAAGGAAAGAAGAGAGGTGCAACTGTCTTCATTTGGATGTGAAGCAAGTAATCAGTCTTATCAGTGTTCTGCAGCAGAAAAGCCTCATTGTGGAAAATGTCAAACTGACCAAGTGATGTAAATCCTAATGTGAAGCGTTGTTGCCCATGCCAGAAATCTGCCCCTCAAGCAAACATGATGATGCTCTGTAAGGATTTGGCAGAAGCCAGAAGTGGGATGTGTTTGTTAGACTGAAACAGAGAGCAGGCCTAATAATGGTTGACTTTGCAAGCCCCAAACCTTTGGTACATTCGGTGCAAAATATATATTTATACACACAACAGGACAGACATACATATACAGTTATATACAAAGAGACGAACAGGACCGCACACATGGTACA